GATGGCACCTAACAACAACAACAACCAGGGTAGGAAACATGGTTACTTGATGAAAGAGCTTAGCTCAGTGCACTGGTTGATAAATGTTAACAAGTACTCTTCAAAGTTCTTTGTCAGGGTCCTACACTTGAGTGCTTTTCCACTTGTAGAATCAGGGGTTCAACAACGAAGCCCACCTGATGTCGTAGGCGGAGCCAAAGAAGGAGGGTCTTCGGGACTGGGCAGAAGCGGCTGTGTAGGGGGGATGTGGGTTCCGATCGTTCCAATATATGTCCCGCTCCAGCGGCGGCAGGTTCTGGTGCATCTCGTCCACAGCCAACAGGGATACCTGAACACCAGGGACAGAAGCCGATGTCCAAGAGAAAGGTCAGCCCGATAGACTCAGGGACTTGGCTGGTGACTTCCTTCTCTCTGGCCTTCAGTCTCCCTATCTGTGAAATGGACACCTACACCTATCTACAGCCTCAAAAGTTGGAATGAAGATCCTGTGAGTAGAAGATAGGCTTTGGCAAGGAGATGGCCTCCCTACAGAACTGTGGGGTCCCTCCCTGGGCCCAGGCTGGGGATGGGTCCATGTGACAGCTTCCCTTTTCCCCTCCCTTCCCTGCCCTGTACCTGAAAGCTCCTGTCAACAATCCAGTTGGTCTCAAAGTCATCGTCATCCTCTCCAAATGGGTTGATGAGCTGCTCGGCCACCTTGGGGGATAGGTGAGGCTCTGGAAATCCTAGGCAGGACTGCCTGAGGTTCTGCTCTGCGCCCTCAAACCCTGCCTCCTGCCCCCTAAGACCTTTCCTGCCCAACTACCATCTTCAAAGCCACAATGTAAGAAGACCACACACACACACACACACACACGTAGGCACACCTCAACACAACTCTCTCCTCCAGGCACGGAACTCCTCTGACTGCCCCTGAGTCAGTCCCTCCTTGAGTCCCCAGAGTTGTCCATAGGTGTGTCAACCAGCTTGAGTCTCCATCTCGACCTTACCTTACTACGCCTCACCTGGCACTGCATAATTCTATTCATTTGCTCACTCACTCATTCACGGCTTCAAACATTCACTTCATCATCATTTTCTAACATCACAGAGGTGGACGCAGAAGCCTGTCTGGTCAAGGGAGATCCAGACAGACAGCTTCCCTTATGTCGCAACCCTGTATAGAGTTTCTAAGGAACAGCTGGTGGGTTTGAACTGCCAACCTTGTGGTTACCTGTCAAGTGCTTATCCTACAACACCACATAGGTGACAAATCCTTGCCAAGGGTCAATGGGACATATTGTAAGTCACTGGGTACCACTAGAGAATTTGAAGCAAACCAGCCGGAACCAAAATCACGCCCACTGCCTTCAAATTGATTCCAAGTCCCAGCGACCCTCAAGGACAGAGAGAACTGCTCCCTAGGATTATTGAAGCTGTACATTTTTGCAGGGAGCAGACAGCTTCATCTTTCTACCACCGTTCAGCAGGTGGATTCGAACTGCTGACCTTGCAGTTAGCAGTCCAGTGTCTAACTCACTGTGTTACCACAAGCAGTGTGATCATCTTTGACCTATATAAACCCAACATAACTGGGAAAAGGAATAGGAGACAAGCAGACCCACTATACAATCAAAACATAAAGGAAGAAGGGTAGATGGTAGGGTGGAGAAAGGCAGGTGAAGAGAAAACAGTTATTCCGAATGCCTGTTAGAAGTCCCGGATGTGGGTGAGGATAAGGCACACACCTCCCTTCTAATAATGTGTCAGAAGGATGAGAGACAAAGTCTCTCCCTGGTTTCTAAGAAGCACTCTGGCTGTACTTTTTCCATCACAGATTTGTTTGTTCTTCTGGCAGCCCATGGGACTTTCAATATTCTCCAACACCATAATTCAAATGAATTAATTCTTCTATGTTGTTGTTGTTGTTGTTGTTGTTAGGTGCCATCGAGTCGCTACCGACTCATAGCGACCCTAAAAATACAGAACGAAACACTGCCCGGTCCTGGGCCAACCTCACAATTGTTGCCACGCTTGAGCCCATTGATGCTGCCACTCTGCCAAACCGTCTCGCTGGGGGTCTTCCTCTTTTTCTCTGAGCCTCCACCTTGCCAAACACTAGGTTAGAATTTGAATGCAAACCAGGGACCTGTCTTACTCAGGCATTGTTATTAGTTGTTGTCAGGTGGGTTCCTACTCATGGTGACCCCTTGTCTGCTGAGCAGGGCTGCTTCATAGACGTTTTCAAGGCTGTGGCCTTGTGGAAGCAGATCACCAGGACTATCTTCCAAGGTGCCTCTGGGTGGGTTCAAATTGCCAACCTTTTGGTGGATAGTTGAGTGTTTCATTGGTTGTGCCACAAACGATTCCCTTGACTAAGTGGTGGTGGTTGATGGTGGTGGTGTGCCCTCAAGTCGGTTCCGACTCATAGTGACCTTGTATAGGGTTTCCCAGGCTGTGAATCTTTATGGGAGCAGAAAGCCTCATCTTTCTCCCACTGAGCAACTGGTAGATTTGAACTGCTGACCTTGCAGTTAGCAGCCCAATGCATAACCCACTACACTACCAGGGATCTTCTAGACTAAGTTGTTGTTGTTGTGTTGTTATGTGGCATTGAATCGCTTTTGACCCATAATGACTCTGTATAGGGTTTCTGAGGAGCGGCTGGTGAGCTTGAACCACCGACCTTGTGGTTCAAGCCAACTTTGCAGTCCAGGATATTAACCCACAGTGAGTGCCACAGTAGGGATCCCTAGACTAAGTAGAGGGGATGAATTTGGGGCCAGAATGGAATCACTGGGGGTGTTGGTCAGCCACTCACTAGCAGGGCCTGGCCTCTGCCACTCTTACTCCATGTATTTGTCTTTTCAGGACAAATACTTGAAGAATGTTGCGTTGAGGGGGTACCAAATAGTTTGAGTGATTAAGGTTTCCCTATGTCTCTCATGCCTGCTAAGTTTCAGGCCTTGGTTGGACACAGGCCTCAAGTAGATCTCCTTCCCGTCTTTGAATTTCAATTTCTGTCTATGTGAAAATATTGGAAGAAAATTGTAATCCCTGTCCAGTGGGTATGGCCAAGGCCTAGCACACCTTTCTTGCCACATGTGGGACCCTCTTTCCTGGCCATCCAAGGAATCCTGCTGGTGCAGTGGGTTAGGCGCTGACCTACTAATCTTAAGGTCAGTGGTCCAAACCCACCAGCCATTCTTCAAGAGAAAGATGAGGCTTTCTGCTCCTGTAAAGATTAATACTCTCAGAAACCCTTATGGAGCAAACTCTGTCCTATACAGTCCATTCACTGGCAGTGGATTTTTTTCTGACTGTCCATCCACACCTCCATCCCCAGACAGCTGCTGGTCCCAACTCCTCTGGCCGCACCCTATAGCCTGGCCCTGAAAGAGTACCTTCAGCCAGCCTGCATAGAAGAAAAACTGCAGGAATGTGAAGACAGGTACAAACAGGTCCAGCTCATGGCCAGGGTAGGCCTTGGTTGAGTCTAGAAATTGTCGCCCAATCAGGCAGGCCACAAAGAAACTGTAGACAGCCACAGTCACCACCTGGGAGGAGGAAGAGGAAGCAGAGAAATAAAAGGCTGGGGTCAGGATCCCTCAGCTGGGAGTCACAGGCTTGCTGACTTTCACACTCAGGGGACTTTGGGCCCCTGCCGTCTCCTCTTTAAAATGGATAATCACACCAACTCAACTAGGCGGCACTAGGCAGGAGCCTGAACTCCTAGAACTTAGTACTGCACAGAACTTTCACACGATCCCAGTGTGAGCCCTTAGACTTGTCCTCACCTGAGTGTAGACCAGCGGAACACTGATCCAGTCATAAGCATAGAGTCGTCCACAATGAGTTCGTAAGGTGTTTACCTCCTAGGGGCAGGAAGGAGGACTGGGCTTCTGATCACCACCTGCTCTCCCAGGCTCACCCCCAGTTCTTCTAAGACACCAAGTCAGGTGCTCATGAATGTGTGTTTGCCGGCAGCACACTTAACCTCTCTGTACCCCAAAGAGGAACCAGCATCTCACAGACCCACTTTGAGAGGGACTGGGAGGGACTCTGGGCTGTGGAACTTGGTTGGAAAAAGTTCTACAACCCAAGTCAGGCTCTGGGAGGATCCCCAGGCTCAAGCCTTCTCTTGGTTTTGTTGTTGTTAAGTGCCGTCGCATCAGTTCCACCCACAGCGTCCCTGTCCAAGGTCTGGTGTGGCTGGTGAGCATGAACTGCCAACCTTCTCTGTGTAGGACCCATTGTTTCCCTGGCCACACCCTTCCCCCTCCTGGCAGCCCCATTTGGGTGGTGGGCTCACTTTCAGAAGGCTCTGGAGCAGCACAGTGTCTCGGATCCGACCACCCTTCCAGGCCTTCACTGACAGGTTGGTGAACCACACCCAGGGCACCCAGAATTTGTTGTGTGGTCCTTCAAGGTTCTCAAAGAGTTTGTGTTCGGCACGGGTCATAAAGCCTGTGGGCAGAGTGGAGAAGGCAGGGAACCTACAGAAGTGGAGGCTGGCACCCGGTGACCAGAGCCCTACTGAGCCCAGAGGGACATCAGCGCTCTTTAATCATCCTTTTTTTTCCCCCAACACACAGTTACTGAGTGGCTACTTTGTGCTGCCCTGGACTAAGCATGTGGGAGGAGCAGGTCAGACAGAGGAGCCCTGGTGGCACTGTGGGTTCGGTATTGAGCTGCAAATTGCAAGATGGGTGGTTCAAACCCACAGCCACTCTGTGGGAGAAATAATGCTGTCTGCTTTTGTAAAGATTAGTCTCTGAAACCCTATATAAGGTCGGAATCACTTGATGACAGTGGATTTGAGAGGTCAGGCCAAACCCAGGGTGAGACCAAAGGTCAAGGCGTCCAGACTGGAAATCGAAGACAGGATGGGGAAGAGCTGAGGGAGGTGGACCCTCATTCTTCATCAGTTCCCCAGTCTCTCCAGGGTTCTCCTCCCTGCCTCAAACCCCTACTCTCTCGGGGTAGGTTCTTAGCCCACACTCCTCCAGGTACCTGACTCGTTTTGAGGTCTCCATCCCGCCTGGTTCGGGCCCCAGAGTCCTTGGCTCCACCCATCTTCAGCCCGGCCCTTCTCCGCCTCTGGCTCCGCCCCGTTCCGCTCGGACACCCTTCCTGGCCCCGCCCTGGGGCCGCGGGCCCCGCCCACCTGCTTGCACCAAATGCAAAGTGCTGGGGAAGCGCTTGTACACCGCAGCGCTGATGCTGCGCAGGATGAGTACGTTGGCCAGGTTGGCGTAGCGGATGAGTGTGCGCCGCAGCAGCCGCCCGTGCTCGTCCTTGCCCTCGACCACGCTCGACACCAGGTTCATGAGGCGGTCGGGCCACGGCAGACTCTCGTACTGATTCCACCATCGAGTCACCACCAGCGTCACGTAGAAGCCTGGGCAGGAGGGGCAGGGAGAGGGCCGGGAAGGACGAGGCTGCGGCCAGAGCCCAACGCTGGCGAAGCCTGGGAGTCTCCATCTTCTTAGGGAGCGGGGCCAGCCCCAACTCGTTACAATCTCAGCTGAACACGCGAGTCTCGAGAATGCTTTCTCCCAGGTCTCTGTCTAGTTCAGAAATTTGCCTGACCATCTCTCCTCCTGCAAGAGCCTCCAGGAACCATAATATCAGCGCTTCCCCTAGCAACTATTAGCTTGGTGCTAACAGTAGGGCGTTCTTTCTAGTGTCTGACTTCGGTCCCTCTGTCTTCTTCAGTCTCCATGTTTTTCTGAACTACAGAGGGTCAGACAAGCCACTGGCTTTCACCCCCTACATATCTTGCCCCTCCCGTCCCCCAGCTCCTGGTGGTCAGTCCAGGGTGTCTGCAGACCTCATGAGACCAGGAGGTGGGAAGGCAAGAGGGAGCGCTAACACGAGGTTCAAGTCCCAGGGGGCGCCAGACGAGGAGGTGCCACAAATAGGCAAGGAGGAAGGCTTTCTACCGATTAGCTGCTATTGGCATCTACATCTTGAAATTGGGGGTAGGGTAATTTAGAGATTGTTCCGGGGGGGTGGAGGGGCGGTGCATAATTTAGAAATTGCTCTGGAACTTGTTGCCCTCCCTACCCATCATCCCACACCCTGGGTAAGGGGGGCTTACCCAACACGAAGGAAATGGGGATAAGCTGGATCGAACTGTCGCAGTACAAAGCCAGCTTCTCAAACTGCAGCTGCTGATCACTATTGAGGGCCAGCCTGAGGGGGCGGGGGAGGGGCAGAGATGTGTGGATGATGAGAGGAGATGGCGGACGGTAGACGCAGACTGCCCCTGCTGCCCCTCTTCCTTGTCTCTCCACTGCCTCAGCCTCAGGGTCTTGAGGTAGAACCCGCTTCCTTCTCTGCCACTAGGAGCCCAGCAGCGTCTGTGCTCCACAATGCAGGGGGTTGGGGCAGAGAATTTGACGGTTTCCTGCAATCGGAGTCCCTGGGTGAGATGAATGAACGCGTCAGTTTTAGGGACCGCTGACCATTCCGATTTATGGCGGTACAGAGTAGAGCTGCTCCCTAGGATTCTCTTGGCAGTAATCTTGACCATAGCAGACCACCAAGCCTTTCTTTTATGTCGCTGCTGGGAGGGTTTGAACCGCCAGCCTTTAAGTTAGTGGTGGTGGTGGTGGT